GCAAAGGCCAGTGACAGGCACAGGGGACACCTGCCCGGGGCCACGGGGCCCACGCTGGGGTCGCAGCTGCCGCCCGGGACAGCTGGTCGAACATCACCAGGACTGCCGAGCGCCTTGGACATTCATTTCCTGGTTTCTCTTCCAGGAGAAGAGGGTGACCAGAGGCTGCCCCGAGGAGCTGGTGGGAATAACCCCTTTCTAGAGGCTTCTGTCGGCAGTCACGGTGCCGCCCTGGATTTCCCGCAGAGCATCGGTCAGCCAGGCGGAGAGAGGAGGTCCCCAGGGGGCCTGGCCCGGAGCCCTGAAAGCCAAGCCCAGGGGGCCTGGCACCAACCTTTCTCCAGTGACAGGATCGGTTCTCCTCAGGGTCAGCCGCTCGATGACCGAGTCTAGTGGCACGTTCAGGAAGAAGACCCTGCGGGACAGCCCAGGCCCCGGTCACAGCCTGACCCAGCCACGCCCAGTCCCTCCCTGCTGGCGTCAAAACGCCATGGCGTGTTGTTCTTCTTAAATATGTTTTTATTGATTTCAGAGAGGAAGGCAGAGAGAGAGAGAAGCATCAGTGATGAGAGAGAATCATGGATCAGCTGCCCCGTGCACGCCCCCCACTGGGGATCGAGCCACCACCCGGGCAAGTGCCCTTGACCAGGAATCGAACCATGACCTCCTGGTTCACAGGCCGACGCTCAACCACTGAGCCCCACTGACCGGGCAAACATCTTGGTGTGCTCTTAAAACATCTTACCACGTGGACTATTCCATGGCTCACCTACTATGTATCTCATGCATACATGCATTTAGTGAGTGCCTGCTGTGTGCCAGGCACTGTAGTGAGCCCCTCACATGGAACCGAGACCAGCCATGTGGTCGTCAGCATTGCCATCCAGGCTGGACCACTGGTTTGAGCAGCTTCCATGGGGGACAACATCGGGGACAAGAAACACTCCCCGGGCACCCGGAGCCCGTTCGTTTCACCTGAGTGCGAGAACAATGCACACAAACGAGGCCCCGCCCTCGCGCTCAGCGGGAGCCTCCTCCAGCCCCCGTCGCCCCAGAAGCATCAAAGGGGCTGCCGAGAGGCCACGCTTTGCTGGGTCCAATTGGACGCTGGTCCCCACAGGCATTGGCCCAGCCTCCCGGGCCCAGGTGCCACCTGCTGGGCCCAGAGCAATGACTGGCCGCAGTGTCCAGGCAGCCAGCTAGCGCGCGGGACGCACTGGGAAGAATGGGCGAGTGGCATGGTGTGCAGTTCGGGCCCCTCCGAACTCCACCTGCTGCCTGGTCTGTCTCAGCCCAAACCCAGCCGCTGGCAGCGGGAGAACTCTGCTGACAGGCCGGGCAGGGCCGGGCCAGCGGTCACCAAGCCGCCTCCCTCCCTCCCTCCCAGGAACCTCGGGCAGCAGAAGCCCTGGGGCCCGCACGCGGCCCGCTGTGCTGGTTCGGCAGGTGTTGGGGGGCCGAGTTCTCCCCCAGCGACTGGCACCGGGCACCCCTGCAGGTCCCCAGCCCCTGGAAGTTAGACACAGACGGTTGCCTAAATGTGTTTTCGGCGGGGAATGGGTTCATGCCTCTCGTCAGATTCTCGAAGGCGCCAGCTCTCAGGAGAGGTTCTGAGTCAGGTCTGGGAGGAGGTGCAGGTGGGGCTGCCCCGATGCTGCCGCTGTCCCAGCTCACAAGTGCCACCCTGATGCTCGCTCGTCCCCGCGACTTATCGGAGTTAACTCACCCCAGATGTGGCCCATGAGTGCTGGCTCCTCCTGACCAAGGAATCGGGGCCAGGTGTAGGCTGAGCTGAGCTGGGTCTATAGGAGGCCGCCCCCCGTCCCCCCGGGACCCTCCCCCCGCACCCCCACAAGCCAGGAAGAACGGAGCCTCATTCTTGCTGGGGCTGCTAGGCCGATGCGTGGGAGCCGGGGTTGCCTGCACCCAAAGCGCCTACCTGAGGATGAAGCCCAGCCCAAGAGAGCAGACAGCTGCCGAGAAAGCAGAGCGATGCTGAGAGACACTGTGTGGGGCCTGGATCAAGCTGTGCCTGAAGCCAACACACCCCTCAGTGTTCCCCCGACATGAACACACACATCTCCTCTTTCGCTTACACTGACGGGAGCTGGGTTTCTGTGTCATTAGATGGACACTAGTCTCTCCGGTGCCAGTCACTCTGGGAAACGCGGGAGCTTTCGAAGAACGCGAGTCCCTGGGTCCTGCTCTCTTCCAGGCCAGCGGCTCCCCCGCCTCTCCGTTCCCTCTCGCTGTGCCAGGCTGTTTGCTGAGGTTTGCTCTGCCCAGTGGCCGGGAAGCCCCTCACGGGGACCCCAGGGAAGCAGCAGCCGAGGCCAGGCCATCCACAGAGAACAGAGCGGGCGCCACGGGGGCGGGCGGGAGCCCCGGAAACCCCCTCCTTCCCAGCAAGGCCTCGATGATGTCGCTCACAACGCGCTGTGAAATAACAGCCACCAAGTCGGACCAGCGAGATGGGGGCGCGTCTGAATGTGGGGAGCAGAGGCGTTCCCACGCTTTCACCCCTTACCCTGCGAACGTGGCCCGCATCGCACCCCTGGAACACGCAAGGCCGAGCAGCAGCACCCCGCGGCCGGCGCCCCAGCCCAGCAGGGAGGAAGCCAGTTTCCAACCCCGTAATGGATGCTGCTCCATGAACACGCCTGAGGGAAAGATTCCTAACCCAGCGCACCAAGCCCCCCTGTTCCCCCCCCCCCGCCCCAAACCCACCGTGAGTCAAGGGAAAGGCTGGGGACGGGGCGGGATCAGAAGCCGGAGGACACCAACTTGGTCCTGGAGACGCCGGGACAGCCTCGCTGGGGAGGAGCTGGGTCCCGCACAGGGACCTCTGATTAGGCAGGCGCAGCGCACGGCGCACAGCGAGTTGGGCCCGGGCGCTGCGGAGCCCCTGCAGCTCCACGCAGACACACTGCCTCGCCGGACCCACCCGCCCCAACAAAGGGGGCAGCACAATGCAATGGAGAAAACGTGGGGTTTTTTCACCCAAAAATGTAATAATGCAAATAATGATGAGGATAACCTTGACCCATACCTCACACCATATACAAATTTACATCAAAGTGAATCGGTGTCCTAAACATCACACTAATAAACTTCTAGAAGAAAGCCTTTGTGGCCTTGGGTTAAAGGCTTCGTAGATATGAAGCCAAAAATTTTTGACAAAATTCCATTTCATTGAAAGTCCATTAAAAGCGTCTGCTCTTCACGAGACATTAAGCCATGAAAGCCAGGCCACAGGCCGGGAGGGAACAGTTAGAAAACACATCCCTGAAAAGGGAGTTGTCGCCAGTTTGAAAACGAAGGGCAGCCGTTCGCCTTCATTTTACACCCGAGACCGTGCCTCCGCCCTCACCTGGCAGTGGCTGTGTCCTGTCCTCCCCTCCCCCGCTAAAAGGCCCCCCAGAAAAGGGCCCCCCCGGCCAGTTTGTCTAAAACCGTGCGTAGCTGATAGCGGCATATCTCCGCTGGCTGTGTGCAGCCTCCGGGGCAGGCGGACAACGTGACTGTGCTCCCTGCACATCAGCGAGCCCGCCTGGCCATTCGCCACGCGCCGAACAAACGCAGCCGCCTGGTCTACGGGGGTGACCCGGGGCTCAGCCTCCTGCGTAAGCCGTCTCGGTTTAAAGTCGTCTTCAAGTTGCTGCCTCCTCCCCCCGAGGAAGAAAGAGAACCGTCTGCCACTCAGACACTCCCAGGCACCCGGACCTGCGTGAGATGGTGACCCGCCTCCCAGCCTCGCCAGGGACTTGTCAGCTCCGTGACAACCGCAGGAGTTCAGCCACCGGCCATCGTCCGCCAGCTAGAAGCGGCTGTGATGGTGCATGTGATGGGTGCCCTTGACTGGGCCACAGGCTTCCCAGATCTGTGGTCAGACATGATCCGGGCGTGTCTGTGTTTCGGGATGAGGTGAAGGTGTAACCCAGGAGCCGGAACGAAGCAGGTTGCCCTCCCCCCGTGGGTGGGCCTCGCCCAGTCAGTCGGAGGCCTGGGTGCGAGAGCTTTTCCTCCTGGTGGCCTTCGAGCTGGGACATTGGTTTTGTCCGGCCTTAGCCTCACAGGCCTCAGGCTCTCCCTGGGTGTCAGCCTGCCGGCCCCGGACAGAACCACACCGGCTCTCCTGCCGCCAGGCACTCGCCCAAGCACGGCACGGACGCATGTCATCCTGCTTAACCCCTGTGAGACGCACGTGGCCCAGGCCCTGGGGTCACGCCACTTCAAGGATGGGAATCGGAGCCCCGGAGGTGACGGTGCCTCGGGCTGGGCTCCAGGCCGCTGACAGCGCCGCCTCAGCTGTCTGACCGCCTTCTTGCGGGGAAACGGATCCGCTTCGCTCCCTGCAGTGGTCCCAGCAGCTCCGGAGAGCTAGTGGGGCGGGGTGGGAGGGCTGTCCCCCTGTATGCACCCCTATCCTCCAGGCTCGCTGGACCCACTCAGACCAGAGCCGCCACCCCACCCTGACCTCCACCACCTCAGACGCACCCGGCGCCCGGGCTGGGACCCCTCCCTGTTCACGTCTCTGGGGACACCACGCAGCTGCCTCTCCGGTTCAAGGTAAATGACACGGATTCCAAAAGAGCCTTCATCCCCACGGCCGACCGCTGCCCTGCGAGGGAGCCGCCACGAGCTGGCCAAAACCTCGCGGTAATTCCGCCAGCACTGGGTTCAGTCCTCACGTAAATACCGCAGCGGCACCGCGAAGGGGTTCGTTCTGATTTCGTGCCGCCAAGCGGGTGCCGCCAGAGCTCCGGGTTAAGGAGAGAACAGACGCAGGCGAGGGGCAGTGCTGCTCCCCGACGAAGCGCCCGCCGAGCCTGTCGCTGCCCAGGTGTCGGGGAGCGGTCACTCCCCTTCCACCGACGGGAGGGCGAAGGCCCGGCCGCCTCCAGCCTCAGGTTCCGCTCCCCCTCGGAAAACCGAGTCTGATTCAATATGGATGACCGGCGGCATTAATTAAGGGGGCAAAGTCCGTTAAGAGAACCCCCCCCCCATATGCTGACCGTGTCTCCGGGAATCTGGGAAAGTTCACAATCAAGTGTGTAAATATTCTAAAAAAGGGTCCTGAATATTTTATGAATATTTGTCATAAAACAGAAATAATAACCACTGTGCAGAGCTATTAGAATTAATATTTATGCTGCCCGCCATGAAATATTCATGGGGACGGAGAGAGGGGGGCCGTAAGACAAGAATTAATTTACACCGGGCTCGGTTTACCCGCTGGCTTGATGTTTAAAGACGGTTGACAAGCCTCCGCATGAATCCGCCAGTCACTTCCCGCCACGGGTGGAGCGGAGCGGGGACGGGTCCGGGCTGCTGACAGCTCGCAGATTGAGTTTCTGACAGCCCTTAAAACCCTAAACGGCCCCCACCTTTCTTCCCTTCTTCCATGGCCCCGGGCGCT